GCTCTGGCCACTCACTAGTACCCAATGGACCTGTGTTAGCTGCTGGTTTACCCTTGATGAAGCAAGCTCAGAATGGTGCAGTCACTTCCCAGAGTTGGCCTGTCCAAGGTACAGACACTGTGGGCTTCTTTCTCTTCCTTAACTTATTCAAAGTTATGACTTCAAACATCATCTCAACCAGGATGAGAAGTTACCTCATCATCTAGCTAAGTAGCCCATCGATCAACTTGCCTATGTAGATATCCACATGATCTGTCAATGCCATTGCAGGGCATAGCGGCACAGTTTTCCAGGTAAATAGCACAAATCATCCACATAAGCAGTCAGGCTCTTGATGTCATTCCTCTTTTGAGCCTTTAGCTCAGCCCAGAGGATAGCTGGTTTCCACTAGGTTAATACGTTGGCACAATTTGACTATTAATACATCCCAGTCCCAGAGATGCTTTTTACTCAAGGGCTGGACCATTCAAACTCAGATCAAGCAAAGAACTACTTGTCCCCGAGTCCAAATCCTCTTTAGTTGCACCCTTAAACATCAGGGCAGAGATCTATTTAGCTTCACCAGTGGACTCTCAGCCAACAAGATGTTGAGACATATTAAACATGATGGATACAAAGTGGTATGTATTATCAGGGACCTCTACATTCTGCTTAGCATTAGGTCCTTGCCCATGGGTGGTAAATGCTCTGGACAACCCCAGAACATCTCTCCATAACTTATGTTCACTCTCTCCATATATAGATCTTGCATGTGGCACCACAAAACTTCCTATTTCATTCAACAATGCCATATTGGACTTCAACACACTCCTCTCTAGAAATTAGCAGCAATTCACATTAACACAAGAATTGGTAAAGTTTTACATGCTGTCAATTGTGTAAACACTGTCTTTGGCAAAAGATACTGATCTGCAAATTTATAGCTATTCAGTTTCTCAATATACATTTCATAATGCACCTTGCTTAAATGATTTACAGTGACAGATAATTCAATATTAAAATACAATTTTTCATCAAAGACAAATATAAGCACTTGGCATCCAATGTGGTGGAGTAAATGATAAGCCATATGACATTTTTGACACCATTGCAAGATCTTTATACTTCCCATCCCATAGTGGCTCATGACTGCTTCTTGGCTCACCATCTTAACCAGTAGATCTTCACTGCTTCTCATGCTAAAAAATCAATTTGGTCTGGTAGACATCCAGCTGGCATAAATCAGAGCTTGGTTAAACTACTCTGGTCAGAGAAGGCCTTGGAGTCCTGTAAAGACAGTCCCATTTGGTTTCAGACTTACCAGACCATAAACCTCTGCAATAACCTTCGATTGCCTATGCCTCCTGCACACTGAGAACAATCCCCAAAAGAAAAACTCAAATGGCAATTCTGGGTGCAGCAGACTTCAGCAGTCCTTCTTGAGTCTGTGGCTGCAGCAAGAACGAAGTCACAGACCTTCAAGAGCATTACTGAAGTTCAACAAGTGGGAGAGAACTTCTCCAAGTCTAGAAAGGTTTGTCAGCTATTTACCTTCACTAACAAACTCTTCCTCATGGTTACAAGTTCTTCAACTCATGGAAAATTACATTTCATTAAGAATGAAGCCTTTTTTACCTTCTCACTATGGGTAGACCAAAGTGCACATGTCATGACCTTTTAGAGAGTTACATCTAAAATTTAATTAAACTATTACTAATGTCTACAAATAAACTTGGCATAAAATGTAATTAATATATCAAAACTTAATACTATATAAGTTTTAATTTATAAGGAAATGATTAAAAAATCTTCAATCTCTCCTAGTATGAGAATTGTGACATTTGTTCTCTAGGTTTTCTCCCTTCTCTGATTTATTTACCACCCTTCTCTAAAGTGAGGAATTTACTGTATATTACTCAGTATAATATAGATATTACTAAGGCAAAGTATAATTTTTATAACCTTCAATCTTATTCCTTTACGGAGTCATAAATTAGAAAATCAGACTTTCTTGCTACACCCACCTGTCACATCCTGCCTTTCACAAATTGTCAATAGTTCTCTCCAATGTTTTATGGTATATTATTTATAGCCAAAAGAAAGGCAAAGTTGTAATCTATCAAATAATGTATTATTTTGTTTTCAGTATTATCTATTTTATTTTCAGTTTGAAAGTTTCTTTTATAGTGTTCAGATTGAGATACTGTGGAAACTATTTTAAGGCTATTATGCCATAGTTAGAAAGCCAGTTAAATTATGGTAGATATAGGAAATTGCTTTGTGCTTGTTATTATTTATTGTACTAGACCATTACTATAAAAAAAAAGTAGGCTTAAATTTCATTGGCAACCAACAGCAAAATAAACAGGAAGTCAAAGGTAAGTACTATATTTCTTTATTTATAGTTATAATAGTAACTAAAATGTAAAAATTAGAAACTTACTAGGTTAGATGAGGTAAAATAATGAAATGAAATAATAATACAAATGTTTCATGAGGTGTGCTCAAGATCAGCTTGTGCATTATGCTATTTAATACAGCAACATGAGCTATGCTTTTGCCTAGTGATTCATATCTTGTATGGTGGAATTATTAGTTAGACACAGTTCAATGGGTAATAAAACAATAAATTGAGTATAAACAGATGTATACTGTTACCAGCTTTAAGCTATTTAAGATAAACAATTGTAGTTTCTTGTTACAATCTTCAGTCACTCTAGAAAGAAAAAAAAGGTAATTTAGATTTGTTTCTTTTTTTTTTTTATGATGGTTATAAGATCAGTCAGATCAACCAATTCCAAGTTCATATAAAGTTAGGGAAAAGAAAATATGGCTAGAAGCAATCTTATTGAATATAATAATGTAAAGCAGATTGATAAAATAAAAGCCTCTGGTTTCTTGATACTATATTCTGATGACAATTGGATGAGAGGTCACAAGACTTGGAAAAGACAGGCTAGGCTCCAAGATCAAGTTAAGAGTTTTATTTTTCTAATACAGTGACTAACTTATGCCAGCACTTTTCAGGAGTTTAAGAGGAGAATTAAAGAGTTTCAAAAAATAAAAGATAGGTATAAAATTAAGTATTTACTTTTCTTGAAGGTAGATATGAAAGGAAAGTTTTAAGGTCCAATATTTGTTAATTACAATCGATAATAACATTCAGATAATTTGTATTCATTTTTCATAATCTTGCTCCATTAAAATAAGTACAAATCAATTATTTTTTGATTAATGCAGAAGACAGTTTAAAAGAGGAATTTGTCTATCAGATTACTTGGTTGAACAAACTAAACTTAAGAAAAAAAGAAGATATACTCAAAGCAATAACATTATTAATCCCCTTAACAATTATAAATACCTCAATCAGATCTCTCTAGCTCCTGTTATTTTTAAAAGAAAACAATTTCAGAGATCTTATCCTGTCATCATATGACAACCTTCCCATCTTAGGTATTATCTCAGCAACCCTCCTTTGAACTCTTTCCAAGAACTTAATGTTCTTCTTAAAGTAAGGAGTCCAAAACTAACCACAATACTTGAAATGAGGTCTAACCAATGATTTACACAGCAACAGTCATAACATTGAGCCCTGAAGTACCTAACTTGTCACATTAATCCAATATATTTTTTAACAAGCCATTTGGTGTGGCACCTTGTTAAATTCACATACACCAAATCCACACCTTTACCCTCACCTACATGAGTAATAACATATCCAAAGAATGTCAAAAGGTTAGTAAGGGAAAATTTTGCCCAAGTAAAACCATGTTGAATTTTAAACTTTGTTAAATGAATTTGCACATCATTTTTTACAAAACTTTTTCTCACCATTAAGATAAAACTAAATAGTAATAGGTCTTTTTATTCTCCTCCCCTGAAAAGAAGAGTAATATTAGACAACTTCCAGTTCCAACCTTCTAGCATCTACCCACTATGATAAGGCACTTTAAAAGAGATTAAGATTGAAACTATAAAGTATAGTTATATCCTTTAACCTTTAAGTTTCACTGCCATTAGCAACTTTAGAATTAGAACTAAAGCTTGTTTGATAAAACAACAGTAATCCTAATTACTATACACTAGTTATGTATCAAAGCTTCCTATTCTGAATATGTTTTACTCACCACTACTTAGTATTACTGTTGGAATGCTTTACATACTTTTTTCTTATAATCTGATACAATTTGAAGAAGCAAGTTAAAACTATTAAGCTTTAAACATCTAATTTTAATACAATATCAATTAATCTTTTAAAGTGAATTAAAATTAATCTAGTGTAACCTTGGTTACAACTAACAAGTACAAGAAGCATTTATAATGTACAATTACTAGATAATTCTTGAATTTTTCATAATGGATATTTGTGATACATAAACATATAAATTGCTTAATGCTATGACAACATAAATAAT